GATGGAGGTCAATGTGAGGTTAGAGAGATGGCAAAAGCACACACACCTTTACTCAAATAGACGTACAGATAATCGTGTTAAAAAAATACTCTGGTGAAAGTAGAAGTACTGACTAAACTTCTTTACTCAAGTCAAAGTAAAGAGGCTTTGAAATGTACTTCAGTCAAAAGTACCCATACTAGCAGCTGTTTTAAGAGTACCTGACCTCCCTTTATATTAATAGAACAATAATGTCATTGTTAGCTAATGAATGTTTCCATGCTGAACAACGGCAACATGACACGTTTTCATTGGTCCCTCTTCTTTAGAGAAGACCAGGAAATGATGGATACACGGATCGTGTTCAAATCAATAGGCACGCAATGACTCTAAATAATAATGATCACGCCACCAAACACACATTCAAACTAAAGGAACCAGCCTGTTTGGGACAAAATGAAAATGTTTTTGACACTAAATGCAGGATATTTGGTTGGGTAAAAATACGTTGTGAAATTTTAATCATAACATATCATAAATGTTCACTTTGGATTTAAAATATTTTTTAAAAAAGGCTTGGAAAATGTGAGAAAATTACAGAAAAGTTTTAAAAGTGTCTGAAAAAAAAAAGTTTGTTTGGAACAAAGTGTGATAAAAGTTTTGAAAATGTTTAAGGTCACCTACATGCTATTTTTAGGCAATAGCATAGGTCTCAGATATATACAAATATATAAAAAACATTTATGTATAAAAGACATCAGAAAGTGCATTTTGCCTGATAGGTCAATAATAATGTCTCTAGTGTCTCACCTTTGTAAGGACCCTGCGAGATGCGGACGGTTTGACCAATCAGATCGTTGTCTCTTCGTCCTCGGCCCCGCCCCATTCCTCTCCTCCTCCTCTCCTCCCCCCCCACCTCCTCCACCTCCTTCCTCCTCACCTCCTCCTCTCTGTGGAGAGCCTGCAGAACAAAAGACACAGTTCATTAAACAAACCTTTAATTGATGTTCGTCAGCGGCTGCAGCTCAGACCATATCAGACATTAAAACCAATTCATCAATTAAAGTTCTTCTTAATTCAGTTTTATTGAGACTTATACAATAAAGCAGACCAATGAGATGAAGACTTCTGAGTTTAGAGTTTTCTGTTTGGGGAGTTTTGAGTTACTGTCTAATTTAAGGTACTTACTGTAACCCCACTGTATAGATGTGTGCACTTTTTACTTATGTTTAAATACATACTGTTGTTCTATTCTTTGTTATATTTTATTTCACAGTTAACTTTTTAGGTTGATATAAATATTAGTATCCTATTTTATTTGTATCCTTTTTTTAATTTAACTTTTTTAGATACGTGTGCGTGTGAGTGTGTTTGTGGTGTGATATGTGTGTGTGTGAGTGTGTGTGTGTTTGTGTGTGTGTGCATGTTTGTGAGTGTGCGTGAGTGAGTGTGCGTGAGTATGTGTGTGTGTGAGAGTGTGTGTGAGTGAGTGTGTGTGAGTGAGTGTGTGTGAGTGAGTGTGCGTGAGTGAGTGTGCGTGAGTGAGTGTGCGTGAGTGAGTGTGTGTGTGTTTGTGAGTGTGTGTATGTGTTGTGAGTGTGTGTGTGTTTGTGAGTGTGTGTGTGTTTGTGAGTGTGTGTGAGTGAGTGTGCGTGAGTGAGTGTGCGTGAGTGAGTGTGCGTGAGTGAGTGTGTGTGTGTTTGTGAGTGTGTGTGTGTTTGTGAGTGTGTGTGTGTTTGTGAGTGTGTGTGTGTTTGTGAGTGTGTGTTTGTGAGTGTGTGTGTGTTTGTGAGTGTGTGTGTGTTTGTGAGTGTGTGCGAGTGAGTGTGTGTGTGTGTGAGTGTGTGTGTGTTTGTGAGTGTGTGTGTGTTTGTGAGTGTGTGTTTGTGAGTGTGTGTGTGTTTGTGAGTGTGTGAGTGTGTGTGTGTGTGTGTGTGTGAGTGTGTGTGTGTGTGTGTGTGAGTGTGTGTGTGTGTGTGTGTGTGTGTGTGTGCTTGAGTATGTGTGAGTATGTGTGTGTGTGTGTTTGATGTGGTAGTGTGAGTGTGGTGTTGTGGTTGAGTGTGGGTGTGAGTGTGTGTGTGTGTGTGTGTTTGTGAGATGTTGCGTGCAGTGAGTGTGGCTTGCGAAGTATGTGGTGAGTATGTGTTGTGTGTGTGTGAGTGAGTGAGTATGTTGTGTGTGAAGTGAGTATGTGTTTTGTGAAGTGAGTGGTGTGGGTGTTTCTGCAATCGCGAGTACAAGGCCTTGCTTCAGAGCCACTATTTCAAGCAATACTACGTCATCGCAGTGGCCGGCCGAAGGACTGTTCAATCTCCAGTATACTTGGAAATCTAACCGAGCCCGTGCGTACTCCTTTTGGAGAAATATCGAGGCTGCACATGTGTAGACTCCACGGTTCTTAAAATCCCCACAATGCTTTGCGCACGGACCAATTTCCCCAAATCTGTGGCGGAAGATGTAAGGAGGCGGGGCCGTCTCATATGACGCACCACCTGCACACTTGCTAGACTGTTCCACTCTTTGTTTTCCGAATGTTCAGGAAGTATTTCTTGACTCGCATTCTGAAGCAAGATGCTCGGCAGACATGTGCTACCAAGCAAGCGTACTCGACATTGAGAAAACACCCTGAGTGTGCGTGAGTGAGTGTGAGTGTGTTTATATGAATATTTATGTGTTATTTAATTTTAAAAAATGTGCACATCATAACTCAATAACCCCGTACGTTTATTTTTTTTTCAATTAAACTTCTTATATTTATATCATATTTTTTATTGTATCTTTAATTGCACATTTTCCCTTTACAACTCTTCTCTAAATATTTGGATTTTATTTGGTTTTAAAATGTAGTAATTATCAGAAAAACAAAGCTCCTCCGGGATGAATGAAGTACCCGAGTGCCCGGAGGCTTTGAAGCCAGATACTAAAACTCCTGGCCAAGAGGAAATCCTTCAAGCGTGAGATTTGGATTTACTGAGTGAGATGAATGTGTTTACCATGACAACACATCAACACAAAGCATACTTGAACAGCTGCAGCGTTCTAAGAAACTATAAAACCCTGAAACATGAACTACTATTTGGCTGTGGCTTTGCAAGAGGAGACGCCTCTCGTCTGATTTACTGACACTAGAGCAGGGGTGCCACATCAGCATCATGGTTGCACTCAAAGGGCCAGTTTTATATATAAGACATTATAAAAATACATATATAAATAATGTATTATATTACATTATTGCCTCTGCATTGGATTATTATCGGATAGGGTAATAACTTCATAATTAACTACGTCTGAAAGCAGGGTTAGGTAAGGGTCCTCTTCAGTGAGAATGTCACAAAATGATTTAAAAGAAAAGCCAAATTCTGGAAAAAAAGTAAAAAGAAAAAAAAAAGAAATGACATTTTCGAAAAAAAAAGTCAGATTCTGAGAAAAAAATAATGTTTTGAGATGCATTGTGGGACAATGTAGTTTATGGGCAACGTGCTTCTGTAAATCGGCATGTAACCGTATAATAAACATGTTATATTTTTCATGCTCTTGTGGGCCCACAGAAAATGAAGTCATGGGCCGGATTTGGCCCCCGGGCCTTGAGTTTGACACCCCCTGCGCTAGAGACTGAGGAGACTTAGGCCCCACTCACACGGGACCGTTTGCGTTTATGCACAGTATGCGTATTCAAAAAAGTCTTCCGTTCACATGCATTAGTTTCATTTAACGTGTCTGTTCAAACGAGGCCGCTGGAAACGCTGTAGTACATATGCCGGGACTGTAAGTGGCGCTGTAAACTTCCGCCAAAATACAACCAAAAGCAGCGAAGAAGAGCAGCCCCGCCGCAATGTTGCCATGGCTACCCTTCTGTTTATGCCCCCGCGGTGTATTTAGCAACATGTAGTTCATGTAATTCTCCATGTCCACTTGTTGCTGATGGTTGTGGTAGAGGAGCTGTATATTTTGGCACTAATATCTGTAGCATGGTCAGTAGCAGTAGCACTAGGCAGTAGCTACTGACAGGAGGAAGTGGTGTGTGGCGATTGCTGGTATTCAGCGGGATATAGTCATTTCCTCAGCATATGGATAAATGCAACGGGGAAGTTAACTGAAAGAAAACCGAATCTGTGGATATTGCATCGACCGACCAAGAAGCACGTCTCTGTGGAGAGGACGCGCTCAGAAAGAGAGATATTCTCTACAAACACCGGGTGAGATCCTCCTTTGTCAATATAATGGATCAATGCATGAAATCTGACTCTGTTTATTTTTGTTTAAGGAGTATATTGGGCGTTAACTATTCTGGTTTGCCTTTTATAATATTATTTCATTCAAGAACCCCTTGTGCGTTTAATTAACACAGCTATTTTGATAGTTGCTACAGCAGTGAGCAGGAGAGGTGGGGAGAGGCGGGGCTATCGTTATTTTTTCAGGAAATATTCGTATCGAGGTGATTACACGGACTCGGTTGACCCCC